ACCTTCTGTGAAGTGTTTGGGTAAGTTGACTTGATATTCGCACAATATAACTTGCTGTTTGAGCTTTGGGAAAGCTACTGAAAACCATAAAGTCCAAGTTCAGCATCAGGGAGTTCAGTTGCAAGTTGAAGATTTTTCAAAGCTGATCTTTTCACTAGGTCTTTGGTTCCATGCAAACAGTACAGCCAGCTAAAATGTGGTTACCCCTAAATCATACTTACTATTCATTGTTAAATGTTATAATTCCATTTGACATGAGATGATGCCAGTGTAATTTTCTACCACTATGAGGATTTTTTTGGTAAAATTCTTCTACTTCAGGTATCAAATTCTCCAATTCATTAGGAATTGAAACAAAGACTTGCTCAGAGCTTCTTGACCAGGCACCACCATTCAGAATATTTATATTAACAGGATAAACTGGTAAAGCCGACTTATCATCTGTGCGCATTTCCTTAAAAACTTGGTTCAGATCTTTAGATACTTTTATGTGCTGAAATATTCTAGCAAGCTTATTTACATAATCTGCTGACATACCAACTTCTCTTAATCACTCTACCAGATTTTCTTCAATTTCACTGTTGGCAGAGATGTCCAATATAAGATGCTGTGTCAAATGAACTTTGTGGTACCTCATGAAAACATTTTGTTTTGTACATATTTAAGTACCATGAGCACTTCTTTATGCTTTTTTTCCAATCTCTTCAGAGGTTAGTTTTTACTTGATGCTCAGCAACATGTCGCAGTAATTGAAAGCAACTCAGGACACTTAGATTCAGGCTGAGTTTTCAACCCCACTCCTCTCTGCTTCAAAGGTAATTCAAGTTTAAATATGGTAGCATCATTCACAACAGCGTTATATGCCTTATCTCTTGCAGTAAGAAATTGTGGATCATCCTGAAAAGCTTCTTTGACAAGTTTACTAACTCTATTAAATAGTGTAAATAACTTCTCAACATATTTCTCAGAGTCAGTGGTAATAGTTTCAGCAACTGCTACCATATCTACCAGGCCAGCACTTACAATGTGTTCCTCCAAGTCTTTCAGCATTGGTTCTATTCCACTAGGAACTTTATCCATTAATGAAAACATTAAATATAATTTTTCAGTTTCATTTCACTTGATCATGCCTTGGCACTCCACTAAGATAGTCTCTTTAAATGACATCACCAAGGCATTCACACAACATTCCATGAGAGCTTCAACGGAGTTACATTCTCATCTTGTTTCTAAATAATGTAATGCTCATTTTTATTCCTCCTTTAGTTTAGCATCTGTATATTTCATATAATTCCGTATACCATTTTGCTGTAAATGTGAGCATGCCTGTGTTCTATAAAATCTTTCTGTTGAATCCAAGTATGCATTCTCAAATTTATCCCTATAAATCTAAATCTTATCCTCTGGATTAGAACAAAGGTTAACATAAGATTCTCTTACTCCAGTGACCAGCTGAGAATCAAAATCTTCTCCTCATCTTTCAGCATGAACCAGCTTCATTGCACTATCTTGTAATCTGTTTTTAATATTTGAAAAAAATTGATTCATTCCATGTTTCAGCCATGAGCTTTCACACAATGCTATCTTATTGCTGCCCTGTTTACCCATGAAAGCAATCTCTAGTCGACAAAAGGGTTTTGGTAAAATATCACACTGTGTAAAGAATTTCCACCGTTCAACGATATGTGTTTTTAGCAAAGCTGTGTCATCTTGATGGCTCAATATTCATGCTTGTGCTTGCTTAATAAAGTCAAGGATATTTTCCTTTAAAGTCTGATGAATTTTTGCTTTTTCTTTATCATCCCAGAGACAGACTGTGTAAACATCCGAAAACAGATCAAACCACTATTGTTTTCTAACAGATTCCTGGCATAAAAGCTTCAAAACAAGTGGACACATAAAATCCCACTTGTTTTCAAATTGAAGAGAACCTTTATTCATCAGCAGATTAGATGTCGCCATGTTCCTGAAACTTCAGCTCTCTTGGTGTGTTATTTTGAAATTCCTGTTTTCTCTAATTTCTAGCTTAGTGCATTCATTGTTTGTGTATAGAAATGCTATTGATTTTTGGCTGTTGACTTTGTATCCTGCTATGCTACTGAATTTAGTTATTAAATCTACAAGTGTCTTTGTGGAGTTTTTGAGGTCTTCTCAGTAGAGTATCACATCATCTGCAAAAAACAATTTCTCATTTTTCTTTCAAATCCTTATTCCTTTTATTTCTCTCTCTTGTCTAATTGCTCTGGCTAATGTTTCCAGAACTATTCTCAACAGGAGTAGAGACAGTGAACATCCTTGTCTTGTTTGTGATTTTCATGTGAAGGCTTTCAAGTTTTGTTCATTTAATATGATATTGGCTCTCAATTTCTCACAGCTGGCTTTTACCATGTTGAGATATAGACCAACTATTTTCTGTAGGGTTTTTTTAAATTATGAGTGTTGGACTTTGCCAAAAGATTTCTCTGCATCTATTGAGATGGTCGTGTGATTTTTGTCTTTGACTTTGTTGATGTGGTATATTATTACATTTATGCATTTGTGTATATTGAGCCATCTCTGAATTCCTGAAATGAATTGCATTTGGTCATGACGTATAATCTTCTTGATGATCTGCTACATTCTGTTTGCTAGCATTGTATTGAGGATTTTTGTGTTTATATTCATTAGAGAGATTGGCCCATAGTTTTCTTTTTTGGTTGGGTCTTTCTCTGGTTTTGGTGCCAGAGTAATACTTACCTCCAGTAAGTATTATTTTGAAACTGTGACCAATTGATTGTTCAGAAGGGTATTATTTGCCTTCCATGTGTTTATACAGTTTCTGCTG